GTCCTTACCATCCCAATGGTTCGATGTGCTTCCTTTTCTCCACCAAAAGTTGCTACTAAATCGAGTTCTTTCAAGAGGATATCTACTGTATTTTCATCCATCTCAAAAGAACCTGCAGATCTTGAAGCATCTTCTATATTATGAGCTTATAGACATAGATGAATATCTTTTTTTTTTCCTCGTTTTCAAAGAGATATTTTTTTTTACCTTCATCTAGAATCACAATATTGTCTTTTAGTTGAATGTCCAATGCCTTTCGAATGACTGGATCAATAATGTAGTTATAAGGACAAAACACAACTTCTGCAAATTCATACATCTTTCTTGAGGCAAAATAAGGACACCCTCGTACTGTCTGTCCTAGCCTGACGAGGTCTTCAATATCCCAAATAGGTTCAATGGCCTCACTAGTTGCCCTGGCAACTAATTTCCGTGCCTTGTGAAAATAAGAGCAACTGTTTTCATCCAACAATCGAGTACAATCATCGTTTTTCGTAGTTGATTTGGATACTTTGGGATGGACTAAATAGAAAAGAGGATCAAAACCTACATACATCTCACATACTCATTTTCATCTTACTGCAAAACTGTTCTCGACTACCAAGAATGGTGGTTCCTAATGATCGTTAGATTCAAAGAGGGTCATCACAATCATCCAAAACTTTACTTGCACTATAAGATGTATTGTTTCTAAGCTCTTGTACTAATTGGGTGATTTGCTTATGACTAGAATGGATCAATAAGTAGCCGTCATCTTTCAGACAGAACACTTACGTTCTACTGCCAACGAAAATCTTGGGTATCTTTGTGTTTGCTGCTTTCTTTTGCTCAGTCTCTAGTCTAATATATTCCTCCTCCTCCTCTTCACTGTCATCCTCATCACTAGGCTCTGATTCCTTTGGTCTCGGTATTGTTTGACGTATAGGTTGAAAATCATCATCCTCGTTTTCTTGATGTATTACTGTCTTTATCTTCTTTACTCTGTCGTTCTCTTGATCCACTTCTATTGGTCTCTTTGAGCTCTCTATTAAATTGGTGTCTTCCACTTTGGTGTCTATCTTCTTTTTTTGATGTTCTCTCCAAGCTTTAGAGAAACAAGTTCATTTTCAATCCATTTAAGCTTTGTTCTTTGTTTGTTACCTAATGCTGCACAAAGAAGTGCTAATGATTTACCAGAGCCTGTAGGACTTTCCAATAAGGCATTTTCACTTCTATTTAATGCACGGATAATCTATAGATTAAAAAAATGGATAAGCTATACACATACACAATGAAGCTTTTCTTTTGTCTTACCTTGTTCATCATTTGTATCTGAGCGGCATCTTTAGGGAGTTAATAGGGTGAAAAGAAAAAAGCGTAGTTTCATTAGACTTACAAGGCTTTAAAGGGAAATCGATCCTGACAGATTCGATCGTAATGGTCTGTCCACTGCCTGGTGCATGTACTTTCTTTTGCTTCTTTTCGATCACATTGTCCCCATTTAACTTTGAAGTATAAGCACTCCAATCAAAGGAATTAGACATCGTAGTAAGAAAAAAAAAAGAGAGAGATCAAACAAAGAAAATGCAGTTTTGAACACAGAGCTTCCTTTTTTCTTTACTTTTTTATTATTATGATTTATTCACTTTATATTATTAACAAAGCAGGTGGTCTTGTCTATCAAAAAGATTTCACTCATCAACTAGAGAAGCTCTCAAGTAATGAATACCTCGTTTTAGCAGGTACATTTCATGGGTAAGAAAGAAAGAAAAAAGTGGTCAATAGATGGACTCATAAGACAAAGTGTGCATGCCATCACTTCCAAGATTTCACCTGTTCACAACTCATCAGGCATAGAGATGTTGGAAGCAGAAAACTTTAAGCTCTATTGTCACCAAACACTTACAGGTAAGAATAAACATAAACACTGCCAATTTCTTATTTTTAATACCTTTATTCAGGCACCAAATTTCTATTGATGACAGCCCACAATTAAATAGTGTAGATGTCTATATGAAAAAGATTTATGACATTTACAGTGATTTTGTCATGAAAAACCCTTTCCATACACCAGAAATGCCTATCCGTTCAGACCAATTCGATCAATCACTATTAAAGTTTATTCATGCCCAAGGTGTTTAAAGCAATGTTGGGTGTAATTTCAATCCAAAAAAAACAATATATAATGTTTTGTTACATTTCTCTCTTTTTCTTGTTTTTCTTATCTTTAGAATGATGAACATATTCTTCTTTTTCTTACTTAGTGTTGTGCTAGCTTATACCGAATTAAAAGCACAAGATACAAAGGAAGAAGGCACAAGTATGGAATATGCTGGTGGTATGCTTGCTCAAGACTTTTATCATGCTGTTGCCCTCGCTGAATTCACAGGACCTACCATCATAGGTGAATTTCATTTTGTACAGGATAGTACAGGTGATACAGTGGCAACAGGTGCATTCCAAAAGGGTCTTCAGCCAGGTCAACATTATCTCTTCAAGTTCTACAATGGACCCAACTGCAAACATTTGGGTAAAGTGGTGGTTGAACATGATTTTGAACATCTGTTGGGTCTCAGCACAGGTGGTACTGCTCCTATTCAAGAGAAAATTGAGTCTGTTCATTTGACTGGTGTGGATGGATTGATGGGTCTCCCTTGGGTATTATCAGATGGTCATCGTGATCTCGCTTGTGTGGTATTGAAGAAATCTTCACTCTAATTTCTCCTTCTCCTTTTTTTATTATAATAAACAATAACATATTTAAATTGTATGAGGGTTGGAATTGAAGGGTGACCAAATACCACGTACACTTTCTGTAGTGGAAATAACAGGCTTCTTTGTCAAATTCTTCAATTTCTCTCCACTGGCATCTTTCAACAATTGAACTTTAGTGTTGATTTGTCCTGGTGTTAAATTGCGTGTACAGATAACCTTGTCACGACCGTTCACTGTCATGGGTTAGTTTACACTGTCAAGTTTATTGAAAGAAACTTACGATAGTAACCACGAACAACAGGATGATGAGCAGGTCTAGGTTGAACAACGATTTCAATTTGAGGATTTTCTTTGGCGAAATGGGCGAGATCTTTTTTAATATAGTCACTTGAAAGAAAAAGTCAATCAGCTGTCAAAAAAAAAATTGGAAAAGATGCTTACATCATGCCTTTGTTGCTACCCCACTTTTCACAATAGTTAAAGACCATTTTACGGCATTGAAGCACAAAGGCACCTGTACCGTTATTTGTTCTAGGTAAGATTCGACTAGCCATGGTTGACATTAAGATGTAAAAAAAGAAAAATTAAAAATAAAGCAGGGTTTTTTCTTTTTTCGATAAAGAAATAAAAAAAAAAGGGGGGGACCCCACCAACAATAGGCTATGGTCGGAACCTAATTGTGGCTTGTTAGGATCAAAGTGGAAAGCGGAGAAGAAGATTGCATGAATATTAAAAGTTCCATAGTATGAACATCTTCTAGGTTGAGAGTATGTGTACTACCAGGTTAACTATCGCTCTTTCGGGGGTTAGTAAAGGATAACAAAAGACTTGAAAAGCATTGTTTCTGGTTTATGTAAAAAGGAGGGAGGCTCGATGAGATGATCAGCTTGAGGATGAATTGTTTTCTTTTAAAAGAAATTGCATGTCTTGACATGAGCAAGATTTTCTAACATATTGTAAACCAGCTTATATGATGGGCTATATTACTCTTTCTTTTTCTTTCGAAAGAGGGCTATCCACAGAAGTAGAATGTGTAATGAGATAATTGATTAAGCTTATAGATGATTAGAAAGTAGTCGACTTTACCTTTTGTTTTTTTTCAATTCGGGCCAACAAGAAAGTATGAATGAATCTATGTAAAATGTGCAAACTGATTTGAACATGATATTTCTTGCGTTGAGTTTACCTGCCAACAAACTGTCAATCTCTAGTCTCATTACCTTGGTTTTTGCTTGCTTTTTATTTTTTAAGAAAGTATGCTTGAGTTCTCACAAAAGACACTACTATAGTCAACGCTTTATTTATTTTTTGAGCAGGAGCTATCAACTATTCTTATGCAACACGCATCGCACTCTTGTAATTGTGGTTTGTTCACTTTTCTTTATGCTTGCCTAAAATAGAACAATTGGAGCAACCATTGTTTCTCTCCACTCGCAAAAAAAAAGGATAACATTGCTCAAATGATACTCATGTTGAAGGCCAAATTATTCCACAACTTTAACAATGGTAGCATGAATCTATTGCAGGTTACTTGATAAAAAAAACTAACCTGGCTCTTCTTTTATTACAGTATATTCAACTTTTGTATTAATTAGAGAGTTACTATTCTTTCTTTTACACGGTAAACACAGCCATCTTGGTTCTATATCGAAACATAGAACAATTCGACAATTCACTTCATTTAGCAGCTCATATACAGTAAAAGACAAGATGGAGAGCGCATGGGGCAATGATCAAAAACCTTCCCTAGCTAACAACTGCAGGTTACATTGGTTGATCTGACCTTCATAAAGTTCTTGTCTTTTAAACTATTCTTACCTCTCCTATAAACTATAATAACCACAAAGAACTGAATTGTGGCATGCTCATGAATAAGTAATTATGCAATACAACTTGAATTACAACTAAAAAATATAGAGTGGCATATAGAATAACCAATCAACATAACACTCTTCTTGTTACAGTAACATATGATATGTGGTAATCTGCCACTCCTTCTTATACAAGACTAAAATCACAGAAGCAAATAGGCCATATGCTACGGCATACATCTTATGTGCAATAACGCGATATAAGGAACAATATATTAAGCTACAGTAACTGGAAATAGATAAAAAAAAGAATGACTTATATAGGGAAACTATCATAATAGGCATTGCAACCAAAAGTTAAGTAAAGGGAAACCATGATGATCAACACTGCAGCATCACTTCGTTAACAATCACGTGTAATGCGGCAGTGCGGCAAGTGTCCGGACCGGATAATATAAGAATATATTAGTTTGTGCGTAATTGCTTTCATCAAATGGTTCCATAGTCTAGTTGGTTATGGCATCGCCTTTACACGGCGAAGGTCTTCGGTTCGATCCCGGATGGAATCATCTTTTTTATTTTTTATTCAAGTTTATGCATTCACTTGGTTTACAAGATGATGCGTATTGTGCTCTCTCTTTTTTTTTTTAGATAATGATCGTAAGACAGAAAACACAAGTAAACTGTAAATTATGAGTGTGGAATGATAGATTAAAATATCCAAGAGGAGGGGGGAACTCTAGACAATATAGAATAAGGATTTATGGTCGAAGGAGCCTAAAGTTTAAATGAGTAAAACCAAGATAAGTGAAGTTGTCTATAAAAGAGATGATATACTTCACCAAAACAAGACCGTGTTGAACTTGCAGATCCTGCTTTAACAACCAGAGTAACGGATCATTGCGTATATAGATCTTTCACTATATGCCTTTTAATCATGAAAGATTTGTAACTAATTTGTTGTGCAATAAGAGCTCTGGCAACCTAAGATACTGAATAGGAAGCACAGATTTGAATTCGGAGAAGCCAAAAGAAATTGAAACATAATTGAATCACCAAGAAAATGCCTATGTAATAAAAAGTGTAAAGTCACCAGGATGTTAAATTGTTGGACTGCCATAAGAGCAAAAGATTTTAAAAAGAGACTGAATGTAAGGTTTGACAACAACTAGAGTAAATGCTATCACAACACAAACGAAATGTTTGTCTTTTCACATAAGCTGCTCTTATTTGATGCAAGCATTCATTTCAATCAGACAAAGAGCATTTTAACAACAACTAACAACGTATAACAGAACATGTCATCTAGAACAGATGTTTTCTTAAATAAAAATATTCATACAGAGACTATAGCTTTCATGAAATGTATCAATTAACCTAACATTGATTTTTACCTCTTTTGACGAAGAATATTGCATCTCTTCATACACACGATTGCCAGATAACTTATTCCTTCGGCAAAACAAACATTTCTTTATTTCATAGTGAAAAACCACAAAAAAATTCAAATGGGGGACCTTTTTCATTCGAACAATTCAAACTGAAGTCCTCAACTCGAGAAATGATATAAACATCCTCGGTCCAGAAACGGATAACGTCAAGTAGTCACTTACTTGACTTAAGCTGGTGTGAGAATTGCATCATGTAGCTTGCTTTTGTTTCTTTATTTGTCTTTCAACATTTGGACTCATTAATATCTGAGCAAGAAACTCGAAGCTCAATCTTCCTCGCTCTTCAATGAAATTTACCATTCATCAACATCATGATGTTTATCTAAGCTGAATTTGACATTTTTTTTGTGGCCCGACATGAGAATTGTTCCTCTTTTTTTTCATTTTTTTTTAAAGTGTGTTAACAATCTATGACAACTTACATATCCAACACAAAACCTTCGTTTAAACAGATCTTGCTGAACAAGCTGGGCTTGGCAGCTCTACCTATACAAGTGAATTGCTGGTTTTGCAACAACGATTCATACTTATTACCAGGATCGAAAAACACACCTGATCATTGGTATTGTCACTTGTGCGAGAATACCAATGCAATAGACAGTGTAAGTCATTCTCTCTTCAACGCAAACACTCCAGAACTAATTTCTATCATTAAATAAAAGAATGGTGAAATACTTGATCCCTCCATTATCGAAACCACTCGTGCTAGTCATCAACGTTACTGTAGGTTTACTATCTAAACCCCTAAAGCACACACAAAGTCAACTAATACTCTTGGATAAGCAACACCAACGGTCCGCACAAGTGCTGGAACAACTAATGCTAAAAGAACTACAAATACAAGGAATTCGCTATGTGAACCATGTCAAAATCAACAGGCAATGATATACCATATGTTAAGTCACTACATACCTGATGAAAATGTAAGTCAATATTGTTTTTTTTTTAAAAAAAAAAGGCATATCAAATGAAACCTTTGTATGGTTAGGACCCAAACTACCAGGCCAGGTGCGATTCTGCTGAAGAATACGCAAAGGGCCTTCATCGTAACTACCCTATATGTAAAGGCTGTCAAATGAAAATCACCGCAATTGTCAATGAACAGTACACTCATCTTAAAATGAGACAAGTGGTTGTGAATCAGGAATTAAGCCAGACAACGTCAAAAGAAACATACTGGCTTGTTCGACCGGACACACGCACTTTATGGCTCAAGGGAATCACATTCTGTTTAGTCCATGCTATTACCATTGGTTTTCTATGGATGGGTAAATCGTGATAGTGTTGTCAACCTTTATGCTCTTTTTCTAATTTCTTTTTTGTTTGCGACATGTTAAGCTTATTGGTACTATCCATATCGTCTATACAGTCATCTTTTGCAACTTGACTTTTTGACATGGCTTGAGTATGATACTTGGGGCAGATGTCTGGAGCATTTGTTGTTGGAGATTATGCCAGCCTTGGGACAAAACACTGTAAAATTTATAAAAACCATACCCTATTGTACGCTTGCAAATGAAATTAGTGCATGCAGCTGGAATGTATACGATCACTTGGCAGTACTGGTGTTTATCAATTCGATGTCTTTTTATATCTATGATTGGCATTACATCCTTAGTAAAGTGCTTATACAAACGCATTTAAATCACTGGGATTTGTACAAGGTAAAGAAAACAAAGTCTACAAAGAAAAAAAAAAGAAACTCATTCAAGTACGATAGAATTTGCAGCATTTCTTATCTCTCATTCGCTTGGTTTTGACGGGTGTATTGCTGTTTGTAGAAGACGAAAATGACGGAAGACTGTTTTGTATGATCATGCTGATTCTATACGTGTTTGTAAGTGTTGAGACTAGAGTATCCATGGATGAAGTTAATTCTTTCTTGTGAAAATAGATCATTGTTACCAGTCTCTGGTTTTTGAGAAGTACAAACAAATCAAATTTCGCTTATATTCTAGAGAAGAATCAAACCAACCTACCAGAAGAGAACCTACCAGAAGAGAACCTACCAGAAGAGAACCTACCAGAAGAGAACCTAACAAAAGAAAACCTATCAAAAGAAAACCTACCAAAAGAGGACCTACCGAAAGAGGAAGAAGACGAACGCTCATCTTTTGACAATCTTGTGTATGATATCAACAATATATCCTTTCACGAATAATAAAACAGAAAGTTTTGAACCTGATCATTTTATGGGCACAGACTAAAAGAAAAAAGGAGAAGTGAATTTCAAACTTCTTGCTTGTGTCTCATACGCCAGAGCTTTTAAATAGTAGTGCTTGTTTTGTTCTCAAATGTTCCAAGGAAAAAGAGAACAGTCTCAAGCTATTTTACTCATGGATTGCACGCCTTTGCTTATGATTTAAAGAGCAATTTTCAGATGTTTCGAATGAGAACAATAAAGCAAGCGCATGAATATACACAAATCATCATAGTAAAAAAAAAGAAGAAAAAAGTGTTTTTAGATAAGGTATTAAGAAAGACTTTATTTTATTTGTTAAATGTTATTGATCACTATGGTTACTTTGGAGTCAATCTAAAAAAAAGAGAGGTTAGTAAATTTTGTCTACAAAAAAAAGTATGCTTTGTTGGTGAAAGCCCCTTAGCCCAAGAGACTCCCGTAAGGCATGCCAACCCTACAAGGAGAGAGAAGTAACCACACCCTTCTCTAGACACCAGAGAAGTACGGGGGCCAATTGGACCCGCGTAAGCACGTATACATTGCAAAACCATCATCCAAATACCTGTCAGGCCAGATACTATACGCGACAACCGAGAGACAGAAAACCTACTTGCTGCTGGAACCTTGGAAGTCTTGATCACCTAGCGGAAAACCTACTTGCTGTTTGAGCCTTGGGAGTCTTGATTACCTGGCGGCAAGCCCACTTGCAAGGGCGGATAAAGAGAAAGAAAAAAAAAGAGGGGAAAAGCTTTACTGTTTTATATTTATTCATCTGAGTAAAATCGGAGTCTTCCCTCAATTTTTTTTTTTGCATGAAAAAAGTAGCAAAAAAAAAAGAACGCGTCTTCTTTTGTCACATGTAAATCGCGCTACATTTTTGGATTTTGTTTGAAAGAGAAAACACTTTTTTTTTTCTACAATTAAAAAAAAAGAGGCTTTGACCATTCACCTTATCAAGCTCTCATCTTACTGTTTTTCCGTAGCTCAATGATTTACTTGCCTACTCAAAGCTAATTCACACTATTCTTCAACAAAAATTGTACAGTTACCTACAAAAAAATTAAATAATTTTTTGAATTTCCGATCATATCATCATCATGGTCATCCATCCTTTCCCTTCATGACATTACATAAATGAGCATTGAGCAACCAAATAATAATAGCAAAATGGAGGAAACATCGTGCTGAATTAGTTTGAGTGGTTTTTGGAGCGAAAATATAAAAGTTTATTTAAGGAAAGAGGGCGCTAATAGTGGGTAGGTCCACCTTTGTTACAACACACCTCCTCCATTCTTTGTGGCATATTTTCGATGAGTTTGTTCCATTGAGCTGGAGCAAGCTCATCCCACACTTTCTTTATATATGCCTTATGTTCTTCAGGCGAAGAAAAGCGACCTTTTCTTTGACGGTGCTTGTGCACAGCCCTCTTCATTTTAATCCAAAGATTTTCAATGGGGTTTAAATCAGGTGATTGAGCAGGCCAAGGCAAAAGCTCAATACCTTGATTTTTTTTCCATTCTTTGGCAGCACAGGACCGGTGAACTGGTGCTCCATCTTCCATCAACACCACATCCTGACGATTGTCAATGAATCTGCTGAGGGCACCCTCATACACCGAGGACACAAAGCCCCTTCCCTTCCTTTCCTCTTCACCCAAGAAAGCCAACTCAGACTTACAGCCATGTTGAATGGCTCCCCAAACCATGGTGCTAGTCCTACCACTTCTAAAAGATGGTGCCAGGCAGTCCTGATGATACTTTTCATCTTCTCTGCGCCAGACAAGAATAGCCCGTGAGCTCTTACCGTTCTCAAAAGAGCTTTCGTCAGTGAAGATGACTTTTTTCCAGTCATCTACTGTCCAACTTCGATACTTCTTGGCAAATGCATATCTCAGTAGCCTATGTGTTGTGTTCAAGAAGGGCTTCTTGACAGCTAC